TTACTGGCCAAAAATAACAGTCTCTCCCTTCCTCTCACATTGTCTCTTTTCAGTACTGTGTCTTAAACTCAGAAGGAAAGGAGTAGTTTAGCACCTTCCCAGCCAACTTAGCTGCTTCTTCCATACTCACAGGAATATGGGTTTAAACATCAGGCTACGTACGAGGTAGAACACGGCTTCACTTTCTGGGTGAGCCGCTAGTAAGCTACCTCCCAAAACGCAATTATCGCTAACACTACTGCCCCTTCTGGCTGTGTGTTCAAAAAGAGCAGCAAACCCTATCAGACCACACAGACGGTCAAATCCAAGGCAGCAGAGCAACGGAAAGAACTTAAGCAGACTCCAGTCGTCAGCGCTTAAGCTGCAAGTCTTGCAGACATGCTTTCACTAGTGCTGCAGTGGTGTCCAGTATCCAGACAAGGGAGTTGGAGAGATGCTTCCCATTTTCATTTTCCCCAGCAGCTGGCTGTGGTATCACCTCACCCCCGACAGACCTGCTAGCGCTAGTACCTAACATCCCCTGGCACCAGTGGGTGGGCTCCCACTAGCTACACCCCGACGCCCCCACGCGTGTTTGGGAATTTGAACATCCCAGAGGTGGTTGTGTCGGTGTAGACTGCCACCACCTCAACAGAGTTCAGAAGGGAATCCACTAGCGTATATATAGTCCTGGGCTGTAGGAATGCAGCCTGCTCCCTTCTCCACTCAGCTCTCCCAAAGCTGGAGATAGAATAGCAACATTTTAGGGCAGACTTGCACTTGTGGCTAATGGGAATTTGCTACGGCCCACAACTGTATTTCAGAGTGACAGACACCAAACTAAAGGAACTCTTCACAAACACACTTTGCACTGCCTACCCCTGTTAGCACATTGCCTCAAGAGCAAAACACCAGTCTTACACTTTACCCCAGAAAATAAAATACTCTGCTTTATTCCCAAAATGGGGTTGCTCAGTTCCAGAACTATGTTTTTAGACCTTACACGGTTGATGTACACAGCAAATTTCAGCACAGAATACTGGAGGACTAGAAAGGCGTAACTGAGAGATGAGTGGAACCCACAGCATAAAAAGGATAGAGACTGATTGGAGCGAGTCCAGAGGAGGCCACGAAGATGCTCAGAGGGCTGGAGCACCTCTGCTATGGGGACAGGCTGAGAGAGTTGGGCTTGTTCAGCCTGGAGAAGAGAAGGCTCCGGGGAGACCTTATAGCACCTTCCAGTACCTGAAGGGGCCCTACAAGGAAGCTGGGGGGGACTTTTTACAAGGGTCTGTATGACAGGACAAGGGGTAACGGGTTTAAATTGAAAATGGGAAGGTTGAGATTAGATATCAGGAAGAAATTCTTCCTGGAGAGGGTGGTGAGGCACTGGAACAGGTTGCCCAGAGCAGCTGTGGATGTCCCATCCCTGGAAGTGTTCAAGGCCAGGCTGGATGAGGCTTTGAGCAACCTGGTCTAGTGGAAGGGGTCCCTGCCCATGGCAGGGGGGGTGGAACTAGATGATCTTTAAGGTCCCTTCCAACCCAAACCATTATATGATTCCATGATTTTCCAGCTTAAGTCTACCTGTAAAACGATTTCTATCAGGTTGCACTGGGGCCCATGTTACAGTTACCACTGGGATAAGCACTATCCTAAGGCAAAACAAAGGATTTTGTCCCAAAAAGTTTACAAAGTAAATTCAGAATTTCAAGGAACACTCAATAATGGCAGCAGTCGTGTAATACTGATGCAATAACTCCACATTCGGAAAAACAAACCTGAATGTTATTTCAGTGATGAGTGATAACCAGAGCTTTCACCCTCCAAAACCAGCCAGGAAAGCACCGTGCCTTTCCTGGGCCACACCGAGCGGGACTACTGCAGCAGCAAACACGGGTAGTGCTAATGCAAGAGTGCATTTCAGAAAGACTGTGCACAATTTATATTATTAAAGAAGATGTATTACCAGATGTTCGTTGCAAAAACAGTAAGAGGGGAAAAACATCCTGCTTAGCTAAGGGTGTTTTCACTTAAGGAAACACCAAAGTATGTAGTTAGGGCTATTAATATTCAGGTCAGTTCTCATGCACCCACCGTGACCTCACTGCTTTCTTGACTCAGCATAAAAAGGAGTTTATGGAAAAAAAACCCCATGAAAATACATATAAATTTTTTTTTAAACCTACTATCAGATAAACCTGTGCAAATATTTTTAGAATTACTACTCTCTCCTATGCTCCTCCACCAAAGTACTCAAAAGGCACATTCCTACTTTTGTAGAGGGGAAAAAAGCTCCAAAACCACCAGACAATTACTTCGACATTATTTGGAGCGCTCTAAATTCTCACTTCTGGAGACATATCCAGAGTTAAATCAACTGTCAAACCTGAGTACAGGAAATAATTCTGATTCCATCACTATTAGGGGAGATTTAACTTTTCCTTTGTCTCTTTCCTACAAAAGAGGCAAACATCACCAAAATCTGACCAAACAGCCTGAAAGATGAGGAGTTAAACCCATGAAATTTTCATTTGCTCTT